GGGGGGGGGGGGGGGGGGGGTGCATCCCTAGCCCCCTTACGCTGCTGCCCAAGAAGGGTTAAGTAGGAAACGCTCCCATCAGGGTTGCTCCCCTCACCATTCAGCAGGGACCTACCGGACCTTGCCTGTCCTGATGCCAAAAAGCTCCTGGATCAGAACAGGCCAGAAAGAGAAGCGCACCTGCCACCGGCTTTGGTCTCAGACGAGCCAAGGCCCGCAGCGATGCTGTGAACCGCGTCTGGGCCCAGGCCGGTCGGACCGCGGGGCAGGGGCCTCTCCGTGCTGTTTCGTCCGCGGCCCCCAGGAGACGGGGACCCCGGTCTCTGCGCCCCGGGACTGAGGGAACCTGCGGCTGCCCCGCGGCGCCCCCGTTACCTGCTTGGCGTCCTGGCGGTGCTGCACCAGGCTCACCTCCCCGTAACTGCCCTTTCCCACCACGCGCAAGAAGCAGTAGGCGGCCAGGGGCATTCTCCCGCCCGCGCCTGCCCTCAGTGGTGGCGGCCAGAGCCGCCTGGGCCCACGCACCCGGCAGCCTCCCTGAAGCCAGGGCTGCTGCCATAGAGATCGGCATGGCCTTCCTCCCACCACAGACAGCGCTGGCGGCAGCCCGCAGACCAGCCCGCGTCTCTCTATGGTATAGTTCGCGTCACCGAAGCAGCCATCTTGGACGTGGGCAGCGCGCCTCGGGCTCATGCGGTCTTTACAGTTACAGGGGCCATCTTGAAAGGAACGTTCCGCCAGCCCGGGCCACCATTTTGGGTGCGGGCATCCCAGTCTCGGCCGCCATTTTAGAACGTGTCCTATGCTGTTCGCTATGCAGCGTCCCCATCAGAGTCTAGGTCTAGTTACTGCTTCCCAGGAGCTCGCTCCCGGCTCCGTGCTGAAAGGAGAGAAGCATCCGTGGCCGTGCTGTGCCTACTGCAGTCCTCATGCGCGCTGTGTGCGGTCTGGGGATCTGGGTCCTCGGCTGACGAAGGGCTGCCCAAGCACAGAGCAAAAGACAATCCCGGGGGTGAGGGATAGGGCCATAGGGGAGGAAGTAGGAGCTTGGTCAGGACGGTTGATCTTTGCTCTAGCAGGCCAGCAGCTGAACTGCTGCCAAGGGTTTTACCAAGACCAAGGACAATTTTGAAGGAGGGCTGTGAGGTCATTTAGCAGATGTCTAAAGGGAGCTCCCCCCAGCAGGGAGGGTAGCACTGGCGAAAACACAATGGTGCCTTTAAAAAAAATGAATGGTTGGGGGGGCACTGGCTTCATGGGTTGACCTGTGCAGGAGTCAGTCTCTAGCTCCTGGATAGAGTGGATAAGCCCTGGAAAGGAACACAAGTACTTCTGTTTGATTAAGCAGGGAAGAGGGGAGCCAAGAGAGGTGGAAAGGGAGGGGTAATGCAATGAAGAGGTAGGAAATTTACATTAGCTGCAGCTTTCTGGGAGGATCTAGCGGGGCAAGATTTTGCAAGGCAAGCCTGGACCAGAGTTTTGGCTATGTGCATAGATAGGAAAAGCCATGCCACAGAGACTTAAGCATTTTCTAATAATGGTTTATGTAGTACAGAAAAAAAGTCTGCAAGACCTAAACATAGCCTGAATGTGAGGACTTAAATAAAGATCCGAGTCAGACTCGCATTACGCACCTGAGAAATATGGTTCCAATTAGCCACAGGAATTTATAAAGGCACTGGTGGAGAAGTCTTGGAGGAAAGATTTAGAGGTCTGTTGTAGCCATGCTAAGTTTAAAGTAACAGCTACTAGACCTCTACAGGCAGATGTCAGAAAGGGCAAGGTTAGGGAGGCACGATGGAGATTTTGGGGGCTGATACCAATAGCCGATTTTTAAGGAGGCATTTTGGCCAATACCAGTCTGATTTCTGATACAGCTGCATCCAGCTAATAAGTCAGTTGTGGTGGAAGGGGAGGGAAGGCTGTGGTGGGGCAGATCAATGCCCCCTGTAGTGAGGGAGGGAGTGGAATGGGGTGAGGCACAGGATAGAGCGGTGGGGGCAGCTCCGGCTGCTGCGTGCACTCCAGGAAGGCACGGCTGGGGAATGAGGCATGTGCCCCTGGATCTGCATGGGGCGGGTGGGCTGCAGCTGCTGGCTGAATCTGGGGCTACACTGGGCTCTTCACAGTGGGGACTGGGCTTGGGGCAGGTGGCAGTGATGCTGGGAGGAGGGTTGGGGGGTGCTATGGTGAAATTTGGGGTGGCTGCAGCCCCCTCCCTCCCATAGCCCTCTCCCAGCACTGCTGCTGTCCACCCTGAGCCCAGCCCCCACCGAGAAAAGCCTAGTGTAGCTCTGGCCCCATGCAGCTGCAGCCTACCTGTGCTGCCCTGCACAGATCCAAGGAGCAGGTGCCCTCTCTGTGCCCCCCAGGGTGAGCCATGGCTCCGTCCTGCACCCTGTCCTGGCTGGGCAGTGCCTGCCGCAGCCCCAGCCCCACTCCCTTCCTCACCATGGCAGGCATTGATTTGCCCCCCACGCACCTTCCCTCCCCTGCCTGTGTCCACCACACCAGACTTACCAGCGGTACCTGCGCAGGTCTCCAAGCTGCCAAGCTGTGTTCCTCGCTGCCTGCATGCTGCACTGCAGCTGCACACATGAATGGGCATTTATCGGCCGCATTGGGCCAATTTCCTACACAGCCAGTTTTCTTTATATTGGTACTGATCTGATATCAGACTGATGTATCAAGTGCACCTCTAGGGAAGATTTTCCTATATGTGTATGTGGCACAATACTGCACCATGCAGTGATATGAAGCTAGGTTAACAAGCTAATCTGGGTACTGGAAGGGGGATGGCTGTGTTAGTATGGTTCTTTGAGCTAATTAGCTCTTCTGAGAAGCAGGAATATTAATTTGGCTGGGGTTCTGCATCAGCTAGGGTGGGGTATTCCTTTCTATACCTGACCTAATTTGTTTAGAGCTAACTTGGACACCTTTGCACAATACTGCGTTTTCCTATGTAGATATACCCTTAGTTTGAACAGAAAGCAGCAGATGTGAAGCAGAGAGGTAGACCGTCATCTGTAAATTGTCTGTATGAGTATGATAGTTGTATTTGTATTTACAGGTAAGATTACATGGGCAAAGGAACATATTAGTAGAAATATTTCATTTATATGCAGTTTTCTTCTTGTGTGATTACAAGCTGAAAGTTCAGTATTTGCTTTCTCCCTGTTTGCCTAATTTTAACCCCTCTTTTAACATTGGTTTATTTATTAACACTCTGTAAACATGATGTTATTTAATAGCACATACCCTTCATGAGAGAACTGTTAATTTTTCCAAAATGGCAAACCATATCTTGTTTTTCACTGCATTTATATTGCTTCCTGCTCTTGGAACATCGGACTCTATTTTAGCACAATTCAGAAATATCAAGGTAAGTAGCTAAATTTCTGTGGGTAACTACTGGTTTCATAAATCATACAAGTTAGGTTTCTGCCAATTAACTTCAACGAGAAGCTCTAGAGACTTGACCTTGCAGTATTGACATCACTGGGAGCTTTGCAGTTGACTTCAGTGGACAGGATCACATCTTGGACTGAGTTTTCCAGATATAGTAGAAGCCAAAGAACCATACTTCAGTCAACTGCATGTCCAGTCAAGTCTCTGTTGCCTTGTGTTGTTTGTGCAGTGCATTTCTTTCTTTCGTTAAAGTTTTATAAAAAGTTATTGCCCTGTTTTGATCACAAAATCTCTTGGTTTTTACGAGAGCTTGAAAAAAATATGTTTCTAAAACCCTTTATAAAGAAAGTATTTTAAAATTCAATCTCTGGCTATGGACAGAAGTAACATTTAACTGATTCAAAAGGCGAGAAGGATTTCTGCTTGATAGTGTATCAGCAGTTAGTAGGGCTGTGCAGAGCGGGTAATATACGATTCATAGTTTCATAGTTTCTAGGGTCAGAAGGGACCTG